ATTTTCAACACAGTTCTGCTGAAAACAGTGGTGTGGCAGCCAGACAACAACGCTTGGGGAACGTTTGTTTTCGTCAGGGGAATGCCTCGATCCTCGGCCGTACAGAAACTGGCTGTGCGAGGACGATAAGTGAACCGCTCATGGAGGGAATCAATGAACAGCCCAGGGCTAACCTGCTGACAGGATTAACCCCCCTCCCCCCATTAATGGTATGGTCCAGTGGTCCAAACTGCTCCTACTGGACAACACTGGATCAGTTTTGCCCAGGATTGGTCCTGGTGTTTGCCAGCTAACATGTGTATACAATATGGGGTGGGGGGACTGCGAGGGGGTCAAAGGTGATGTTTTAGGGGTTACCTGGAAGAGTCTGGGTATGCCGAATCTTCCATATCCCAGAACCACCATTAACCTGCGTTTCTTTCATTAATACGGTCAGCATGAATCACCCTGGGCTCAAAAGTACTTACTGAAAACACAAATAAATAATTAAGCACCCTTCGGCCAGGCTCACTCTTCCCGGGCTTGGCTGCCGTCGGAGACCACAATCAGATCTCAATTTCACGTAAGCACTTTTTACCCTAGATATAATAAATCATTGTTATCCTGTCTGAATCACGTCCAGGCTAAATTTTTCACCGTGTTCGCCGCTCCGTCGAGCCCCGATGCCCGTGCAGCTTAAGCGTGCGACGTGACGGGCTTACACAAATAAATGCTTCAGACGCACAATGTTTTGGAGCGAGAGAAACCCCCTCTCCTGTTTCTTGGGGCAGAAAGGCTAAGTCAATATTTCCAGAAAGCCGTAATCAGATCTTTGAAGGACAGAACCTGCAACGGACCCAAATAATTGTTTTGTTTAGATAATTTAATTTCTGGTGCCCCACACCCCATTCCGTGTCACGCTCCTGTTCGAACCCGGGGGAGTTGCACAAGCAGTAATAGTGTCCCTGCACTGTGCCAACCCCTTGTGTGGCTTACTGTGGAGACACGCAAAGTGGCACTGTGAAAATTTCCCGTCTGTGAGGGTGGCTCCCCCATGCCTTGCCGCTCGGCACACTGGAGGAATTTTTTTACTCTCCTCCTGGCATCCACAGGTGGACAGTCCCTCAAACTGGGGTATTAGCTGCGTCTTTGTAGCCCATTAATAATTATAACAGTGCAAATGAGCAGCGGCACATCCTACAGTCGTATCCCTCAGTGTGAACGCCCCCCTCACCCCCCATCCCCTACTCCCTCCATGGGATGATCAATCACCCTACTCTGCGATGGATTTTGTTCTGGATGGGATGTCTTCCCGTCTGACATCGCTTTTCGTGTGCCTGCAGGGCTCATTCGCCTGATTTATATGTACAGCATATGAAACACTGAGCTGGGGGCGGGGTGGGGGGGGTTGGGGCTCTCTCTGTGTCTGGCGGAGCTGGCCATCTGTGACGGCGTCCCTGATAACTTAATCGCGGGCCGCCACGGACTTGAATAAACACCAATAAACTGCCCTCGCGCTGAACCCTGAAAGAAAGTGTCAGGGACAATCCCCCCCCCCCGGCGAAAGGTAAACACCGTGCTCAGGTCCGGCTGCGGAATCCGAGCGAGACAGCGAGCAGGATCCCAGAGGGAGCGGCGCTACGTTTGTAATGGCTTTCACTAGATCCGCCATTAATCGTGATGTCGTCTTACTGCTGCTACCGCATAGACGTGGGGGTGGTTGAGGAGGCATCCCAATTTTAGGTGTTGGGGAGACGGGGTCCACCTGGCTGGCTGCGCTGAGTCTGCAGCGGGGGCAACATCACCCTTCGTGTCACGGAGGTCCGATACGCAGGCAAAATCTGCTGTGCGTCACATGACCACTCAGCCCGCCTGAGTCTGGACGATCTATGTCCCGGTTGGATCTGGTCAGGCCTGGTGACTCACCCTGCTCTCGTCTGAACGATCCAAGGTTCTGGAAGATTCCAGAGAATTGACATCAGTAGATTCCGATGGTTGTTTATGCTTGACTGCTACAGCTCTGGCCCGCTGGGCCTCTCTGGGGCCTCGCCATGTGCTGGGTCGGGCTTGGCGTGTACTCTGGACCCAGTACCCAGGGGGAAACAGGATGTCGGTAGGTTAATGTGCATTCAGGCCGCTCCTCCCCAGGGAAGGACGAATCACCAGCTGAATTAAATTCCCAACCCCGGTACCCTGCTGCTGAAGCCGGTCCAAACCCAGCTCCTCCAGACTGAGACTGTCTGGTGCTCAAAGTGGGCTCACATCAGAAGGCTCTTTGTAGGCCACCTTGGCTTCTTCACGACGTTTAGCATGAAATGCTGGGTTCAGCCTCCACCGAGGCCTTGAAGCTCTCTCTTTATCCAGCTTTCAAAGTCAAGCATCCGCAGAACACCAAGAGTGGCATGAACGTCCTTCCTGGAGAGCAGGCCGTGAGGAGCAAGGCATCCAACTGGTGACGAGCAGATCAGCTTGAACGGGACCACCAATCACGCTGCTCCGTGCCACCGCCAGGGGCCTAATCTTGCCAATTTGTGAAATGACGTGTAGCGACTTAAACACCGAATCTGCACGGTGTGAGGCGGCAGCTCCAGTAATAAACGTCCATGGGGATCCGGCTGCAAACTGTGCTGTTTTCCTACGTGGCACCTATAGGTGGAGAACCATGCTCTCCCCACCCCCACTATGTGGCTCCCACTCCGTGTTCCTCCCACCCTGCGGCTCCCCACATCTCACCCACGGGTGGCCAGCGTGCTTTTCATTCCCCCCAAACATTCGGTAAGACATGGGCCGGATCCATCACGCCCTCCTTGCATCCCCGCCTCCTTTATGGCTACTTTACTCCTCAGTGCTAATGTTCCTCACTTCCTCGGCAGCGTGTGAGGAAAGCGCCCACCGAGTAGCGTGGAAATAAGCGTGCCGCACCAATGGTGTTTTTGCACATAATTGCAATTTCAAGGCTTGCAAAAATAAAATTAGCATAATTGCTAAATTAAAAAATGGCCACCTTCAATTGCTTGCAGGAGTTCAGATGTGCCGATACCACGGCTGCTTGTCTGTTTCTGCCCAAAACGCCGGAACCGGCCCCCAATTACGGCGCCCGGGCCACTGCCGGCTGCATGTCGAGGCAAACGTCGCATGGAGAAAGCGTGTATTGTGAAACTTAATTCACGCATGCGATCAATTTACAGATAGCCGCTATCTGATTCTCCGGTGGAGGTCCTCGGAAAACACTCTGCGGCAGCCGGAGAGGTGGTACGTTTCTGCGGAATTCCACCTCACAGTCGGGAAATGGAAGCACGCAAATGCCACCTCCCTTAGCGAACTTGAGTGTGGAGGGCAAAGGTCTTGGGAGAAAAGGATGGAAAAAAAGAGGCTTGCTCCGGCTGCAGACGTGTCTGAATGCATATGAGGGAAACTCTGACTGCAGACGTGTCTGACTGCGTATGAGGCTCGCTCCGGCTGCAGATGTGTCTGACTGCGTATGAGGGAAACTCCGACTGCATACGTGTCTGAATGCCTATGAGGGAAACTCCGACTGCATACATGTCTGAATGCCTATGAGGGAAACTCCGACTGCATACATGTCTGACGGCATATGAGGCTTGCTCCGGCTGCATACGTCTGACGGCATATGAGGCTTGCTCCGGCTGCATACATGTCTGAGGCTCGTTCCAGCTCCAGACGTGACTAACTATATATGAGGCTTGCTCCAGTTGCAGATA